TAAAATCATCTTGGTGAAACAGATGAAAACAAGGGTAATCAGCATCTCAGATAATACTTTCCACACTTCAAATTTACGTAAACTATCAAAACTGTTCATTAACAATGGTTATCCGAAGTGTCTGATTAACAAGCTCTTATTCAGCTCACCTCCCAGTATTTTACCAAACAGTACAACCACCATACCAAATTCCAGATCTGGCTTTGCTGTCCTACCCTATATCAAGGAACTGACCCCTAAGCTGATCAGATTATGCAGTCCGTTGAACTGTCGAGTTGCTTGCAAATCCGTCCTCACTATGAACTGCATTTTTTCAAAAATGAAAGACAGAGTCCTGCTGCTTGGCTTAACCAACACAGTCTACTCTATCAACTGCAACAATTGCAACCAAATATACATAGGTCAGACCTCCAGATCTCTTAAAGGAAGGATTACATCACACAAAAGTCTCTCAACAGGGCATTCTATGAACTACACAAGTATCAAAGTTCTCGATAAAGAAAAACACCTATCCAAACGTTTATTCCTGGAAATGTCCCACATTTTCATGAATGACAGCTGTATCAATAATAAGACAGATGTTAAGCAACTGAGTGTCATTTACTCATATTTGCTAAACTGCGAAAAATTGGAGCACTTACACATCTCCCCAAATTTTGACTCTTCACAACCATAAATGGAATCTGTTTCTTGGTCTATTCCACCAATAAACTCCATTCCATCCAAATTTCAATAACCTTTCCTCATAATTAAATAATAACTGTTAATTTAATTACCCATTTAATAAAATATAGTCAATTCAACTGCCTCTGGTCGGTTTGACAATTTCTTACCCAACACATTTTGAAAATCACATCATCTGAAGTGATTTGGCAACGTAGCACACGCCCACAAAAGAATTTTCGTTCCATCATTCTACACAGACACTGATAACCTTCGGCCATCTGTCAAAAGGTTCATCTTACTCATTATTCCATGCCCACCATTTTGTGCAATAATCAAGTGGCTTCACGATGTAATGCTTTCATGTTCTAAAAATTTTTAATCTGTTTTTAACTTGTTTTTGTCATACAGCTGTGTGTATTTTATATAATTTTGACCATTGTACCATTTATCCAGCTTTCAACTTGTTACTGGGTGTTTCCCTCATCCTGAACGTAAACAACAATTAGCAACATCCTCACATACTGTAAGTTAATTTAAATTCATTTTACACTATCGTTGCTACTGTTATCAATGTAATTGTAGCTCCTGTTGATGATGGCAAAGACCATTGAAAGCTAGAGAGAATAAAAAAAGTATAAAGGGTCCTCCTTACTTAAATTTTTGTGAAGTACCCAACAAAAGGCGGAAGCTTTAATTTTTCACCTAACTGGTCTAGACGACAATGAGCACGTCTCAAGTTATATATATATATATATCGTTTCAGATAATTAGATTGGACAGCACAGGGATATCTTAGACTTTTAGAGCCTATCGATTAATACAATTAGGAATAATAATGTCTTATATTTATTTTAGGCTATTGGTATCATTATTAATGTAATTTTTGTCAAATTGTGTCTATTTTAAGTTTATCAAGTCCTCCATGTAACACTTTTACTACGAGTGAATTAGTCAGATAAGCTCTTATTTTTTTTCTAGTCCACCAAACTAACCCGCAGTTATTTCTGTAATCCATCAACATACAAAATGGAGCACATCTGTATTATAAAATACACCTTTTAATGTTCAACTTCTTCACAAAAACATGGACTAGCCTTGGTTACATCGAAAGTGTTTACTAGTAGAGAGTGAATTGTCTTTAGTTTCAATTATAAATCTGCTATTTATCTTCTGTTTTCATGGATAATACGATTTTTGTTAGTTATAGTGTACAATTGACGAACAATTATAAATATCTCAAAAACTTTCTCACATGAACACCATTGACCTTTATATCAGACAAAAACTTGTAAACAGATCAGGTGTTTTATTCATGTTTTTTGAGTAAAATTACGTTTTGCGTCTTTGACTACTCTGTAATGAACGTTCAAAAAAATAAAAAATGCATCAATTGGATTGAAATGGAGCGTAACAAAAAAATTGACGCAAGTTTCACTATTGCACCTGTCAAGTCAGCAAATACGCAGGCTGTGTCAAACTTTATAAAATACCCATCAGGTCAACAACAGATAATCAGAACCTATAGAGATTCCATCAGATCAACAACAGATAATCAGAACTTATAAAGATTCTATTTCAATCTTACTTTCTTGAAACGACTTATTCGAATGAGTAACAAAAGGTAGAGCAATATGTTCTAAAAAAAACAAATTCATCATGTGGGTCAAATTTGGGACACCCTGTATAATAGTGAATGAAAAAACACGTTCCTCCCGACACCATATATAATACCCAATGGATAGTTTTCTTTGAAGAGTTTTTTTTCCGGAGCAATACTTTATCCTCGCGGGACATATATTGAAGGAATCAGCACTGCTTGAGTATTAAGGCAGGAACACATGACTTATCACACAAGCTCACGAGCTATCACGCAAATTCATAAAGTATAGCTTTAACTTAGATACATATAATCACATATAATTTACGGGTATTGATACCTTAAGCACCCGCCTCTAAAAGCACAAAATGTTACTTCGGCGCCAGAAAAAGACATCTGACGATACTATACGTCAAGAGTGGCACAGTTCCTTGCGAATTACAACGTATTTCACTTTCAGAATCACAAGTACTCTTCATTGTTATTGTTGAACGTGAAGACATTCAAGATATCTCACTTCTAAATGTCAAACCCACAATATGTCGAATCGAGTTTTTAGCGAGTCTCTTTATGGCTCAAGCGACGAAGCTGTCTGATTCAAGAGATACTCTATAAGCATCAAATTTGAATGAACTGCAAACCATAACAAATAAGTACCTTATTGCAAAATTATAGTGTTCTATAACTTTATACTCATCAGGCAAAACGTCTTTCATGACACTGACAATCTGGAGCATTTGGACGTTTATAGCTTTCTCAGTTGATACTGAACGCGTAAAACTTGACATGATTTTTGTGATGATTCAATTTCCACTATTATATTAGAGATGCTGTATAGATCTAAAAAAATTTATTTATTTATTTATTTATTTACAAATTTACGGGATAAACCCATTCGGTTACAGGTTGTAAAAGTACGTAGTCGTGCCATAAGTTCTGTCCCATGATAATCTCATGATAAAAATGAAACAAGATAAGATATATTTATATGAAAGATATTATTTATTCGACAACATTTTTAGAATTCATAATCAAACAGTTTTATTCAAAATGTCCCCCCTTGGCCTTCACACACTGCTTCAATCTCGCGGGCCACTCATCTATCACTGCACGCACAGCTTCCAAAGGAATAGCTGCCGCTGATCGGATCAAATCCGCTTTCAGGGACTCGATATTACGGTGGGCTTTGGAGCAGGCCAACTGCTCTAGCAGGTCCCACAACTTGTAGTCTAAAGGATTGAGGTCCGGACTCCCTGAGGGCCAATCTTCCGCAGCAATGAACTCTGGCACATTGCTTTCCAGCCAGCGCTGCGTACTCTTAGCCTTGTGAGCGGGGGCGGAATCCTGCTGGTAGACCCAGTGTTGGTTGGCAAACAATGTACCACTTAAAGGCTTGACGATAGGATCCAGTATGTCGCTCTGATAGTTTGCCGCTTTTGTTTTCACGCCCTGTTTACAGAAATGGAGCTGAGTGACCCCTTCGTAGGACACCCCCCACCAAACCATGACTGACGCAGGGTGGTGGCCTCTCTCAACTCTCGGAATGATCTCCGAAGCTTCCTGTGAACTCCTTGCATACACTTTGTCATTTTGTCGGTTGAATTTTTCTTCTATGGTGAAGATTTTCTCATCCGTGAACAAAATCTTTCGGAATCCCCCAGCTGCGTACCTCTCCAAGAGCTTCTTGGATCTTGTCGCCCTGATGTGTCGCAAGGTGGCCGTAAGTCGCTGGCCCGTACGTCTCCGGTAAGCCCCTAGCCCTAGGTCTTGTTTAATGATGCGCGACATCGTCCGGACAGGAATCTTCATTTCCCTGGATAGGATCTTCTGCTTCCGGAGTGGATTCCTTTGAATCCTGGCTTTTACGGCTTTGATGGCTGCTGGAGTCCTTACTTGACGAGGTCTTCCGCTTCTTGGCCTGTCATCAACAGAGGACGTCTCATTGTACCGCTGAATGGTCCTAGACACAAATTTACGCGATATTTGAAGGCCGCGTAAGAGTTCAAAAATCTGACTAGCACTGTGATTACACTTATGTAAAGCTATCACTGCAATACGGTTCTCTGCCTTGCCCCACTCCATCGTTATGCTTCGAGAGATCAATACAAACTGAGGTATATGTAATTACCCGAAAAGCGCTTAATCAACTGACACCACAATGTAAACAATCGGACAAGTATTAACAGGTCTACACTTGTTTGAAAACGAGGGACAGAACTTATGGCATGACTACGTACAATCTTAACCTAATAAAATTCACACACATCATAAATAAAGTATCTAACATATAAACATAAAGTTTGACTATTTACTAAATTAAAATATTAAAACGTGCATAAAAAAGTTACAAACAAATACTAAAAAAAAATATAGCATAAAATGCGTCATGACCGACTGATAAGTAGATTGATGGAAATATCAAAAACGTTTTGCTGAAATGCATAATCTCAATCTTATGGTTGCTGATACATAAAACAATACGCATCGTCGCTTTTAGTGAGCGTAAGTTCACCCTATGTTTCCGTTCCAATCTCCGTCCATGAGCTTCTTAAGTATTACCCGACGTCGTCGGCGCGTCTCAACCGTTTTTTTCTGCGATTTTCCAAAGGCTAAGGCGTCTCCGTCTACTTTACAACATGCGTCTATGAGACACATACTCAACCATACATATCCATCGCAAGCCATTTCACTATAAAGTGCATATTTCTGCCAAAATCGAGTCACTTCCAGAGTCGCGTTCGCGTATCCAGTATCAAGTCATCAAGTGTGCTTGTTACGAATTCGCGGTATTCGATTGTTTTCTCTCCGGGACAAATGAGGCGAGTTGTGACCATACGCGTTCAGGTGTGCTGCAACGCGTTGACCAATTAGCGGCTGGGATTTGGTATGAGATCGAGAGGTGGTTACCGAAGGTGAGTTATTCTTCCCACAATCCTTATGAATGTTAGGCTTTAGTTCACAAAGCACCAAAGGCATTTCAAGTTTACATCTTAAAAGCTAGAGGTTAAAGGTCATCATTATTATCAGTTCCCTCACCAATTGGCAAGGAAGTGTCAAAATTGCGAAAAATGTCCAGTTTCTCTCATTTCCGTCGATCTGTCTGTCTATCTGTCCGTCTGTCTCCTCATCTTTGGCTCCTCTATAACTTGGGAAGTATTAGCTACTCAGATTTTAATGAAATTATGATACAACGTTACTTACTACGCCAAAAAAAACAAGCTTTGTAGGCTTTGAAAATCGATCCAGTGGCGGCAAAACTACGAGCAAAAAACTGCTTCGCTTTTTGACGTTTCACAAACTCCAGCTGTTTTTTTTTATTTTCTTTTTGAGAGGTAAAACATTCAAAGCGGTGGCTGAAGAGAATGTGGGAAGATATATCTCAATTTTTAGGCAATAGTGGATTTATGCTCTGCCAGCCTCGATAATACTGGTCGAGTATTAGATATATTTCACACTTATATTTCCTTGTAAATTTGCCCTTAAGACTACCTGGGTCGCGTCGGGGCAACAAAGATATGAGATAAACCAGTCAGGACGTGGCTGCTCTTGCCATTCTGTAATACAGGTACATGTACTGTGGAATCGCAGCTTTTTTTCTAGGATGATCCAGCTTGTGCCAAACATAATCTCTTATGAACTGTTGACAGCGTTGACATACATGACTATAGTCAACGCCAAACAAAGTGGCGTGCACGTCATCAAGGTGGGTGTGTTGAAAAATTTACATTGTTGCCAAACTTTTTGTAAAATAATAAAATTTATTATTTACATATCTAGGTTTATAAGCAATATTAACCTCAAATGAGAACAAAAATAATAGTATAATAAAATTATAGATCTGTACTTGCATAATCATTAAGTATGACAATTATTGATCAGATGACACTATGAAACTACCATATTTAATTCATAGCTTAAAGGTACTGAATAAAAATCCAAATGGGGTCCTCCAAATTTTATGCATGGTATTTATTTTACAGAATTCATACAGAAAAATGCATTCTAAAATTAGGTAAGCTACTGGTGTAAGCTTTTTCTGTACAATAAAGTTAGTCGGAGTTTCTTTCTTCAGCGCTGTCTGAATCTGAATCTTCATCACTCTCAAAGTTGATTATTAAAGGTTCGATGTCTGGTCGATCAAAAATTCGTTCTCTTTCATACCATTTAAAAATTTCTTGCTCAGTATGTCGAACACTATTTTTCCACATGTCTGGGGTAACCGTTTGTAGAGCCTCGTTCCACATATCCAAACAGTCTTTTTCACTGTTACCATCTCTACCAATATGTCTGTTATAGTAACCTTTTGCTATGTCCCAAATTAACTCAATAGGGTTAAATATACAATGGTAAGGAGGCAGACGAAGAACTTTGTGCCCATGTTGTTCCGCCAATTCATCAATCACGTATATTTTAGGTGGTTTGTTTCTAAAAAAGCAGTTATTTTAAGAATAGGAATAAACAAAAGAAATATAAACTGTCGACCAAAATATATATAATTAAGAAGCATTATGTACCGAGCAACAATACTCAATAGCTCTGTTTTAAACCTTGTGTTTAAAAATGGTATGTTTTGATTTGTCAACCAGTCTTGGATATTTTTTTTGTCCATGCATTGTTGGGCACTTTGTTCAATATCATGCTGTGATAAGGGGCGTTATCCAGTATAATCATAGATGGACTCTCCAATTTTTCTAATAACTGATGTTGAAACCATTTCAAAAAATTGTCCTGGTTCATCTCTCCATGGTAATCGCTCAATTTTGTTTTCGAAGAAAATATCGCTTCACTACCCTCAATAAACCCATTTTCATTTCCAGCATGTAATATAATGTATCTAAAATATATTAGTTTTAAATTTTATAGTGCAAATTGTGTAAAAGTACATACCTTTTACCATCTGTTTTAATAGCTTTCACGCTTTTTTGGTTTCCATTTTGCCAAGAGCGACCTATGGTCCCATTTTGAAATATCCAAGTTTCATCGAGGAAGACAAACTGGTATAAGGCCTCAACCTTGGCTTGATTGTATTGCCTTAGAAATTCCACCCTTTTCAAAGCTATACTTGGTAGTTCCATGAGCCCTCGTCGCGGATTGTCCTTAAGCCACTTAAATCCAAGATCTCTAAGCAACCGCCTTAAAGACGTGGCACTACCATCAAATAATGCCCTATCTCTTAATCGAGACCATAAAGTTTGTATCGTAACTTGTTCTTCTGAAACCATGTGTAATATGACATTATAATTTAGTTAACAAATTAATGCAAATTTCTGATAAGTTATTATAATAAGATCTTACTTTTGTGATACATATTATAGATCACTTCTCGAATGGCACTTGTATCCAATGTCGCTGTGTTGGTTACACGTTTAATATAACTCCGCTTTTTCTTGGGCGATTCTAAATTTGCATCACTTTTCACACCCTCGGAAATACGACTAACTGTCCTTAAACTAATTTTTAAAGCAGCAGCAACACGCTACAAAAAATGAAATAAAATTTCACTATTATTAATATACATTACATATAATTATTAGTAACCTACCTCTTGAACAGCATTTAAAGGCAACAAAGGCCCGTTGTTGTCCCTTTCTTGCTCAAAGTAGTGCATTAACGAGGCCACGAGTTCCTTACACCGACTATTTAACTGTTTGGGCATCTTTATATACCAAAATTGCCTTTATCTACTCGTAAAATGAATAATTTTGTTTTGAAACAAACAGTTGTTGATTTACAGTATGCGGGGTCAAAGGATTTATAAAGATTTGAAATGCCACAAATTGATTCAGTGTCAAAATTAATACAGTTCCCAGTTTAAATAAGTTTCAAGGTGACAATGTGTCAACGCTGCGAAATCGGTTTAGTGCGTTTACATGTCGATAAGTGATTGGAGCGTTTGCAAAACATTTTATTTCGCATAATGCGTCTAAATTTATCAGAAAGCAACTTATGTGATATTTTAATAACAATGTTTATATGACTATTAACCATAATAAGAGAGTAATGACCATTTTACAATTTATATATCACATTAATATGAAACTGCAATAGAGCAATTGTTTGTGATAGAAACCTAGGCATTAGGTCGGGGAATTTTTATCATGATGACGTGCACGCCACTTTGTTTGGCGTTGACTATAGACTATTTTATAAATCGTCCCTATCTTATCTGTACAGGGTGCCATGTCATCATGGGAGCAAAATTCTTAATTAATGTGGAGGGAGGGGGAATATTTTATCCTTTGATTCAGGGCACACAAAACAAAACCCAGCCGCTGCTGTATGATTATGAACTATTAGTAGCTAATTAGAAATCCGAGTATCGTTCTTGTCTTCTTCCTGCAACGTTTAAGTCTGAAGGTCCCATCTCTAGTTACAATCCCATAAGGGATATAGTCACCAGCACTTTCATTACCATCCATTGCCATGTTACTCATACAGATTAAAAATTGCTCTAATATCCTTTACCGATGACTTTAAGGAGCTATCTCTAGGTATAGTTGTGGCTTGCTAAGCTAATCACCTACTTCCTCGTGATTGGTTCTAAGTGTACAAAAAGGGGGTATATTTTACAAGAAAGAACAGAACAGTTTTGTCCATTGTACTTCCATAGTACCTTTGACGTGAGATGGAGAAACCATCGCTCCTTACAAAGGACATAACGTCGGCAAACAGCGTGAAAATCATTTAACAGAGAAATCGATTGGCTAATACGGAAATTGTATTTTCGTTAATTGACTGATAATTCAATATTTTTATATGCTGCATAAAAAGCTGATTATATTTTCCATCTTCGCATATTAGATATCCAGTCCAATTTGATTTTCCTGACTCAGACAGGAAGTTAATCCCAAATAAGAATTCGTTACGAATGAGAAACGCAAAAGAAGATTGACAAGATGCAGTAACGACAAGATTTTTATATCTATAGACGAACCGAAATATAAAAACTATAAGACAATAGATTTTGTGTACTAAAAAAATTTAAGATTGACTAATCTGTGAGATTTTAGATATACTTAAGTTCTAAACGTATTTGATGAAAAATTAAAAAATATGAGAAATACCAGGACTCAAATTTGTGAGTTATAACTATGTGTCACTGGGCTGTTTTGTTGTTTTTTGTATGGTAGTGATCTTGTACCACTCCCTGAAAATCCGGTTGACCCTTAAAGTTCGCATATTTCGCATAGTTTTGCTATCACCTGCTCTTCAAACAGTTTTGGGGGCTGATAGACTCTCACAAAAGGTTCCTTTCTCTTTTTTGCCGAAATTATTATATTATATTGGCTTAGAAATGAACGAAAAAGATAAGATTAGTACAACTGGTAAGCGCGAAGTACGGTTGCAAGGTTAAATGGCCAAGTATACCTGAAAGGTAAGCCGAAATCTATAACTCATTTTGGTAAAGCTAAGTAGGTAGGGGGGACGTCGCACTGCAAAAGAACATGACCTGACCAAACCATCAGGTTTGCAAGTAAAACCAGCAATATGGATATCAATTTAGAAATGATGATACAAATCAATGAGTGTCAAACTGTTGTTCTTCTTACATAACATGCCACTCAGACTACTCAAGGTACTCACTCAAATTAGACAGAACCAATCGCATGTAAAAAATGCACTCACTAAATATTTTGACAATACATTATATGAAGTATGCGTTATGTAAATTGTCCATCAGCTTTTGTTTACTGTTCGAAGATGAGAGCACTCATTTCACCAAAGCTTATTAGTTTAACTGGATACACTTGGACGTGTGTGGTCTAGACGAATAATTAGATGGACTCTACAACCTTTCGGCGCCTCTTACTAGGAATCGTTAGTACCATTTCACACTACAGCAAACTGATTTGACTACAATACCACATGGGGCATACACAATCCTTAAGGTACTATCTGCGCGTCGGCTGAG